CCTTATTTTCCATGCAGAAATAAATCTCTCCTGTAAATTTCATATCAATATCATAATTGAAGCACATATCAGAAACGTTTTTATGAACGCTTTTTATCTGCATTTAAAAGGCACTTAAATGGGAAAATTAAAATGCGGTTTTCTTACTTACGTATTTTTCACTATCTTAAATTATTAAATTTCTATTACACAGAAGAAAACGTCACAATTACGTCACAATTATGTCAGCATGTTGCTTTGATATTGAATTATTTTTGATTTGATATTATTTTGGAATTTTTTGTTCAGTTATTAATATATTTTAACAAAATATTAAAATTATGAAATTATGATGCAATGTAAAAAAATACAATCAAGTAGATAAAAATTTAAATTAAAAATATCTTTTTTAAGATATCAGTTAGTTTTAAAATAAGATACTGGGTAAGTATTTATCACGTCAAAATAACAAATTATATTATTTTTTAAAACTTCAGAATTTTCGGCGAATCTTTTAATTTAAAATAAAAATTATCATTTTACCTTTTTTTCTTTTTATAATGCAATAAATATTTGTCAAAACAGTCAATATACAAAAGAAAAAATCTCCTTCGAATTTCGAAGAAATAACTACCGCTGACGTTCTTACGCCCCCCCCCCCCCCCCATTTCTTGTATAGTTAGTTAATTTTGAAGATGACTTTTATCCGGTCGCGCTGAAAAGTAAATTTATTTGCGTTATATTTAATACGCTTGTTTTTTTTAGATCGTGCGATTAAATTTCCAAGGCACATAAATCTGGTTATTTTTTAAATCATTAAGATTATTTATTTTGTCACAGTCTGAGGGTCCTCAGTCTTTCCTTCATTGACATTGACAGCTTTACGATGACTGAAAGAAAATAGTCTTTCCAACTGCGTCACTTCCTGTCACGGAAAAAAAAGAAAGGAAAATAATCAACGACATGACAAGCAAAACAGGAATAGAAACTCTATACTTAAGGTCCCATTCAGTAATACAAACTGCTGCTCGTAATTTATTTGTAGAAAGTATCATTTACACACGTCGATATTTCAGATGTAATGATGCTTTGTCTGCAACACTCACAAACAGCAATTCCTGCAGCACGGTTTTGCTGTTGGTCAATTAGAAAAATGAAACATCCCCGTGTAATATGCAACACAGTTTATCTTAACACATCCAGGGAACTCTCGGTATAATTCAAAATAATTATTTTGCTCGAATACGATTTGAGAACTTACAATATTACTTCGCTGTAACAGGTTTTGATAATACGCAGTCCACACTGAAGCTGAAATTTGACGAATCTCACTTTAAAAAATTTAACATTTGTTTATTAATTTATATTTTAAAAATCTTTAAAATTCGTATTATATATCTTCTAAAATATTTATGATAAATAAATTAATTTTAATTTACATATTTTATGGTAATTTTAAAATCAATTACAAATTTGTAACTGATTTTAAAATTACCATTTTATATAGAAATTATGTCCTGTACTTCTACATATTGTATTAAATACAAGAAATTAAAAAATTTTAAAAATTGCAGTTTAAATTTCACAACAAAACGTAATATTAATTTCATATTAGTTTTATTCCCATGTCCTCATCTAGCACTAAAATTCAACATAAAATATTCCTACTATTCGTCTAATGAAAAAGAATTTAAAAGATTTAAAAATATTAATGTTTTTTACTAGCACTGCAATACAGTTTTAGCAATTTTTGTAAACAGAATATTTTAAATTAAATTTATCAAGATCGGTTTTGCCTTCAAATTTTTTAATATGACGAATGCTTTCATTAAAATAAAAATATTTTAGAAAATAAACAAAACTACTTTAATTTAAGTATAAATATTTTTATATATTTTACTTTTTTTTTTTTTTTTTTTTACTTTTAACATATTACCAAAAAAAATTGTGAATTTAAATTTTCTTACTTTTAATCATATAGATTCTTTAAAGTAACGTGTCGCAAAACAGTACAGTCTTCCCCCCTCCCCAGAAAAAGAAATGTATGTGAACAGAAAGCAGCTTCAGTTTGGCGTAGATTTTGAATAAAACTGTATGGCCGACGATTAGATAAGGTTTCTCTTCTTCAGGAGGAATATAGTCCTCCCTCCGGAAGAAGAGGAACCTGTGCATGGCTCATCACGAAATTTAGAGAATTTTATTCAAAATCTACGCAAAACTAAAATCCTTTTTTTTTTTTTTTTTTTTTTTTTTTTGGCCTAATTAAAGATGTTTGCCTAATTAAACCATGTTTTGAAATTCACAAAAATATCTGACAAATTTTAAAACTTATCTAATTCACGATTTTGCGGTTTGCTCAAAATCTCATTTTAAAGCTAATTAATATCTAATGAATATCATTATGGATCTGGTTCTAATTTTACCCTTTCTTCAGATTTTTTATTTAAATGATAGCACTATTTTTTTTTTTTTTTTTTTTTTTTTTTTGTTTTAAGTGATGTTTTAAAATTTTAATGTTTTCTAAAGTTTCAATAACTTGTGACAGAAATTCAACCTGCGTTTCAAGTTTTCAATTTAACAGCTTTTAAATGCAGAAAAATTTTAAATATAGCGTTTCAAATAAGTATACTAATTATGATACAGATATGAGATATCCAAGATAGTTTTTAATATCTAAGGAAACATCTGAATTCAAAATTTGTAAACAAAATTATTGATAAAGTGAAATTTTTACATTTAATAATAATATATTATAAATAATAACTGATATTTTAACGGCTTTCAAAAACATTTTTGTTATGAAAATGTCCAAGTTCATAACAAATAGATAACAAGAGATTCAAACACATAATATATATACGAAAGAAATTTCAAATAATAACAGAATTATTATTAACTACTAAATCAATTTGATTAGATTAAACGAAAAAACAAATGTTAAATGACGGTTGTTTTTAACCTTATCTTGACAAACAAAGAACCTAATCACAATTACCTTATCGATAAGGTAACGATCGTTACAACATATGCTATTAAACTCGCTGGCTTCAAAATAAATAAGAAGACAAAGAATGGATCTGATGCATTATTAATAGTAATAAAAAAAAATTGCACCAAAAAGTCCAATCTTTTTTAAAATATTTTTTCTATCCTGGATTTAATAGTTAATACTTTTAAAATAAATTATAAAACTATATAGTTTCATATTATTAATTTTTGTTAATAAAATTATTTAGAATAACATAGTTTTAATTTTAACATTTTTTTAAAATTTAAGTTAAAACAATATTTTTTATAATTTATTTTACTAATATATTTTAAAATTTTGCAGTTCTATATCGTATTACAGAATAAAATTAGCTATTACGCTTAATAATTCAAATTCATATCTAGTATAATTCCCCATTCCAAGAGAATTAAAATTTCGTTCAGAAAAATACTAATATTTTAAGTAATATGAATTAATTGGAGATTCATGTAGCTTGTCAATAATTTGTCAATAATGAAGCTACATAAATTTAATGCGTCTTCCAAAATTTAAATGTAATAATATGTATCATGAATTCCATAGAATTAAATTCTGCACTCGTGAATACTAAAAAAGTAATAGTGGAACTTGCAAATAAATAAAATTATGCCTATAAAAATAAAAATTTCATCAATTACTCCAGATAGATTTATCTGTAGGTCAAATATTCAGGAATAGAGTAAATTATTACAAATTTCTAAAGGTAACTGCATTTTCGTTTTTATTACCATTCATTTTTAAACAATTATTGAAATATAAAAAAAAACTGTTTATTTTTCTTTAGAAGTTATTTAAAAATATAATCAAAAATATTTGCACACATATACTCTTCACTAAAGAATTCGTTCAAATTTCTCATTCGCAAAACTTTTTCTAAAATGCCGTTACATAATTGCTAAGCAATTTTTTTTTTTAATTTTGTTTAATTCTTTCATATCTAAGACAAGAAATTTAAAGGAAATCAAAAGTCCCCAGGTGCAGTCGATAATCAATTAATAATACAGTGCTATTTATTAGCTGAAACATATTTAAAAAATTAGTTTTACTCAACTAATTATTAAAATAAATAAACTGTAAATTATCAAGCAAATGATTAATTCATATAACTTCTTATAAATGTTTTTTGCTGGAAGCATTAACAAAAAAACAGTTTAATATGTACAAATGCAAAGCCTTACAGTAACTGTTGATTAAAAATATTTGGTAGTTATAACAGTAAATAATAGTGTTTATGTATATAAAATGAAAACTGCTAATAGATATATACAAGATCAGTGTGTATGGTGTATTAGTATTTATTAAAGAGCAGTATATTAGTATTTATTAAAGAGCAGTATATTAGTATTTATTCTTATATAGGTTTTGTTGAAAATATTTTCATACAACCTTTTTTATAAATACGGTATCATATGAAACCCGGAATAGCTCTTAAACATTTAAGAAATCATGCATAAAGAGAAATAATAATTAAAATATTACGTAACTCCTGATATTTAGCTTGATCCAGAGCAGAAACATCAGAAATGACAAATATTACAAATAAATTCATACAAAATTTACGGAATGCTTGTTTCGTTTTGAATGATAAACCTGTCTATCAAAACAAATACGGTGATTTAAAAGTAAAATATTTAAATTTATCAGATGAGTAAGAATAACCATACATAACTTAAAAGCTTCTGAGATATTAAAGTATGTAGTTTTTTCTGCATTCATTTATCTCATAAAGGTACAAGCCGTTTGAAGGGACTAGAGTTCAGCCTTAAATAAAATAAAAAAATCAAAACTAGTTTGGTATTACGGCAGAAAACGATTCACAGCGTTTGCTGTGACAGGCACATGCTATGCAGAAAAGCCAACATTTAGACAGAAGTCAGGATGAAGAATACAAAGCAAAAGCATTAGCGCGAAAATGATAGTTAAAAATGAAATATGCCCATCCATTTGCAACCACCCGGTCCCTGCGAGAGGGTGAAAAATAGACTCTACCCACCTTGCGAGGGGGCCCGATCGTTTGGCTCTTTGGCTCAAATATCTTTCAACCGTTGCAATATTTCCACTTCTTGCGGCGTCAATGAGTTCTTGTTCTTTCCCCATGAGCGGCCGCAAGTCAGAAAATGAGAGAATTTAGCAGCACGAATGTCACATTGTAGTAAATGCCGCCTTGGCCTCCATTTTGAATACCCAGCTTCCTAACCACCAGCTGGTCCGCGGACCATCGTTCAGGAACGTACGTATAATCCAGGTCGCGATTCCAGTGGCTCTCAGTAATTTCTCCTCGGTCTTCACATAGTCCGGTCTGACGCTCGACGAAACATTTTTTCCAGTAGGAAAAATAAAGCTGCGCTGAATTTGTGTCAATGTAAACAAAGCAAATGGAAAATACTAAGCATGAAGCCTCATTCAGGGTTGCTAGCGTTGGAGCAATCATGCGGCGCTGAGAGCCGGCGAAACCAGCGCCAAATGGTAGCCAAGCGTTTCACAATTCAATGCTTCTACGTCAGCGTTTGGCGAATCTGAGGAAACACTCGAGCAGAGATATGAAATCATAATTTCATTTATTACAAAGCACTTTTTAATGATCTTTTGATTTGCTTCTTTTATGAACGTAAATTAATGTACACATACCCAATTTTTGTTCGGGCGATTACTTTATTTTGAAATATTAAAGCACGAATATTTTTTCTAATATAGTTAAAATTAGAAATTTAGTAATATCATTGTTTTTCGCACCAAAATTTGGAGAAAATGTAAGTCTTTGTTTATAAATGTTCCCGTTTGGCAAAATCTCCCCGCTGAGAAAATTTATGAAGTAAATATTTTAATTTATTTTTCAAATCTGTGTAATAATTCATTTATTTCCACTTTGAGCGAAACTGGTTTTTAAATTACTGCTTTGAGCAAAAAAAAAAAAAAAAAAGTAAATAATGAATCTTTATTCTAAGTGAATATTTTTAGCGCATTGCGATTTCTTTTTTAAAGTTTCTGTCGCAGAAATTCTATAAAAAATAAAGTAAGTTAAGTATTAAATTTAAATTACTTAATGTAACTTTATTACTTGCAAAATAACATAAAGTATATTTATTACGTACAATATGAAAGTTAGGGAACGAATATATGTCAGCTGGTTAAAATTAATTTTCGAACAAAAAATTGAAAAAAAAAATAAGCGGCAAATAAAGGGAGAAAATGGGGGGGGGGCAGTAAAGGTATGCAGAATTTTCATCCTTATAATATTTTTTCTTAAACCGGATTAACCTAATTAATGGAAGAAAAATTCTATACTTAAAAAATGTAGCACACTGCTTTTAGAAAAATATTTAGAAAAAGAAAAAGGCTAATAAAGCTGAAAAATAAAATTTAAATTAAAAAAATTCATGAAAATTATAGATTGTCTATTGTAAATTAAATGTATTTTACATTATAACTATTAAATTTAAAAAAATTTCAATTATTAAGATGACTATTTATTGCTCTGAATTACGTACTGATAAAATTTGAAAAACAAAATGAGCATCTTAGGCTTTCCTGGAAAGGGTAAATGGATTTTTGATGGGCCGATAAGCAGATAAATATCTTACTTTTCCCACAGTGGTAAAATTTGTAAAGTTACCCGGATGATAAATGCAAGGTAGCGGCACGTAACGTAACAACCTTAACAGTCTCCAAAAATTTTTCATCGGCTTCGATAAAAATATTTCTATTTTAAAAAAGAAAAAAAAAATGTAGTTTCATTTGGTAGCTAAACGCTCAATCTTTGAAACTCTCAGGGGCGACCAAGTTTTCATCTTGCTGTTGTTAAAAGTTGGAAAATTCTTTAACAACTCTAAATTTAAAAAATAATAAATCAAATAAAGATTTTATTTAATGGTTAATTTTATGCTCTAAGTTAGTATATCATATTATATTGATTCCATTAGTTAAAATATATTACTCTTCCCTGAAAGAAATAAATTGCTTTTAAATTAAGGAATCTATTTAAAAGCAGTTTACTTCTTTCATGTGAATATCCCAAGTTCAACAGCATTCCGACAACCTAACAACATTCTCACAGTTTCATAAACCAGAAGGCTAAATACTCGATTACCAAATGCATAAATACCCTCAATAAGACCCCAAACGTGTCAGAAATAACATCAAGAAATAATATTAGAAGTTGAATTCGCTATTGCAGCAAACACATCTTTTTATGCGTAGTTGATGATTAACTCATGTTTTTTCCATTTAATAATCCGCAAGATAATCATTAAGTTATAATATATCTTTTTCCACCCATAATTAGAAAAAAATAAATGTACTCACGTGATATCGCAACAATCTTAATAGAAGTCGCCAAATTTTTAGAATGCGCCAAACTCTGGAAACCATGCGCATTCAGGCAACCATATTCACAACAAATCTTCAGTCAAGCAGCGTCGTCATTTTTGTATTCGTTCTTTTTCTTGTATCCCAAGTTACAACGGATTTTATAAAAAACAGTAAAATTTTTCCCCTTAAATTTGATTTTAAAATATGCGCTTTCGAAATTTGCCATCAATGAAAGAAACTGAGGTAAAATTTCAGCAGGAATGCAAAATTTCTAGTGAGAACAACAAGGAGATGTGTTTGGTAGATGACGGTTGTTGCCGAGATTTGCAAGATATCCACAGGCTAAAACAGATCGCTGTGTACTTAGGGCGACCGAATCAAGCAATCTTGCTCTGTACTTGGGCGATCAGGGCAAACGAATCACTCTCTTCCTTTAATAATTAAAAATCTGTATTTTAAATTTCTAAATTATGTTTTCTTTTCATGTGTTGATAATAAAGGCTGACTTCCGAAAAATATCGACAGTTTGCGAATCTCTTTATTTTATTTTTTTTTTTAATTGTGAAAATCACCAGCTTATACCCAATAAGTAATTGTTCCCTTTTTCCTTTTTTCATCTGTAAAATATCCCCAAATTGCCTCAAGGTGGTTGCGTTTATATGTAAGTACCAAAATAAGAGCAGTTTTTTTTAATTAAAATAATTTTTAATTAAAAAATTAAGAGATTTCTAAATACAGCCTTTGAATGACACGTTTCTTTTATCTGAAGACGGCCAATAGTAGTGAAATTTATACTATAGCTGACCATTGAAATTGCTATACTATGAAAGCGGCATTGCAACAGATGTCAAATATGTATGCTCGGATATGCAATATGGTACAAGAAATGAGTTCCAACGCACAAAAGCAGATACATGTAACTTCATCTATGTGTGTATAAATGGAAGGCTTGCACAGTGAATTTTTCATTTGGAAATCTCATTTGAATGTTGGTTGTTTGTGTAAAGATCATACTTTACCTCATGTAAAAATTAAAACTCCTACCAGCACAATTCGACCGCTGCAGAATAGTAGACTGCGGTTTATCATTCAGCGACATTGCTGTTCGTGTTGGTCGTGTCGACATTGCTGTTCGTGTCGCCACATACCCTAAGTCCGAAACTTGACTCGTCCGCAAGACGATAAGTGCCCGTACGGATAATGTGATGAAGCGGCCTGTCAGCGCCGCGGCCTGTCAATAAGACAACCTTGTTGCTGCTTTTCTTGACCAGCAAAGACAGACACGAATGACGACGAATGAATGGTGCGACGAATGACGACACTGGACACAGGAGTTGCACCACGTGGTCCTTTCAGTGGAACCCTGGTTCTACATGTGCGGCAGCATGGTGGACGTATCTGTGTTTGGAGCATCAAAAGAACGAACTCTGCCAGCTTTCATTCGTTATCATCACTGGAGTCCAGCTCCTGGTGTGATGATATAGGGTTCCACTGGGTACACATTTCAGTCACCTCTTGTCCACATAGCTAGTTATGTGGACAGCCGCATTACATTTCAGATGAATTAAGGCTCATGGCTGTACACTATCTTTGAGATCTGCGTAATGCCATCTTCCAACAAAATAAGGTACCACAACATGTCCGTCCTGACGTTTTCGGTACAGGAAGTGTTTTACTGTCGCCTTGGCCAGAAAATTCTCTAGATTTTTCTCCCACTGAGAACATCTGATCATGAGTTGCTTAGAGACTGGCACACCACCACTAGCCAGCCACTACGATTGATGAACTCTGACATAGAGCTGAAGCTGCATGGAATGAAGTACGCATATCTGTCATTCAAACTCAATTCAACTCGATATTGAGCCGGATTACAGCCGCTGTTGCTGCCAGAGGTAGCAGCTCTGTGTACTGAATTCTGCACTCTGTTTATCCCAAACCACCTACAAATTTAATCATGTCTTACTCCCATTATATTGTTATTTTTACCAATAAATCATTTTTTCTATTTGCTTTCCCTCCTGGTGTAGCAAGTTTAATCGCCAGAAATGGAAAAGGTAAGGCGCATGAGCAAGATTATTTACTTCTGGAGAGGAAGTAATAGCTATTCTGATTTGTGGAATGCATTAAAAGTGCAATCTTGTTAAACTCTTACTATTCAAGTTAATCTCGGTTATTTTTATAAATGTAATTTTAAGTACCGCACTTCTTAATCAAGGAAAAGAACTCTGCCACTTGCAACTTAATTAAAACAGAGGAAGAAAACTTGTCGTAATGAACTGAAATTTCCTCTTGTTTAAATAAAACTTGCTCTGTTCCTCCAAAGTCATCATTTAAAAATTAATTCCTCAAATTATTTTTTTAATTTGTGATTGATGTATTTGATTATTCAAAATGATTGAAATGATTTCAGATGGTTTTATTTGTGAAATTTAAGAGCAAAGAATAACAAGCAGTAGATGAATTGAAATTAAAACTATGTAAATTTTACTTATGAATATTCAGTGCCGCTCCTTCAGTTACACGAACCTTATCAAGATGACAATCGAGTTCAGGATATACTTTCTCCAATATATCCTTTTCACAATCTCCCCAGCATTCAAAAGATGGTTCTGGGATCATTGTACCTTTTCAGACATGTATGGCACTAAGGCATCTTTATACGTAATTATAAAAGCAAAAAAATATTTCCATAGCAACATTTTAAATCTTGAAGATTTTCTTTCGAAATAAATCAATAAAATAGTAAAATTGCTTCCCCCTTTTCCCTCTCCTGCATCCGGATAGGTGGAAAACTGAAAGCTGAAATTATTTACAAAAATCAAAAGAAAAATTGAAAAGAAACAATGATTCTTATATAAAATTCAAAGCGGTTACAAGTTTTTACAGTATATATAGAAAATGTCGTTCATTTAAAAATGAGCTGGGATGAACAGAATGTTCGGAAATATCAAAGTTATATGTTTTTAGACATGAAACCTCAGTTAAGGTATTCGTATGATTTTTGTTCTCGGATTTTAGCAAGGAATTGCAGAAGTTTGAGTAGAAATACCTTAGAAAACAAAGTTTTAAATACAAGTACTTAATGCTG